GCAACAGCACTCTGCGGACAAGTGCTACCATGACAACAGGTAGGGTGTTGAGGATGTGAGAATATTAGATAGAGGGTACTGAGGTAGAGAGGGAAAATATATATGCACAGTTAATGAAAGACGAACAGTAATTGCGTGTATAATACCTATGACTTCAGAATAGGAGGAAAATGACCAGAATATATTTGTGCCTTCCAGCTCCTTGCCCACCTGTGATAGTAAACAGTACCCTGAATTGCACCACCAACGTGGCCTCACTGTCATGGGTGACGGGCAACGCTGTGGTCGACGTTGTCGTCAACGCCTCGTCATCCCAGGGCCATCAGACTTGGTGCCGGTCCACAAATGGCACCTGTGACCTGGTGGACCTTCGGTGTGGCCAGAACTACACTGTGCGAGCCTCTGTAGCTGGGGCAAGCTGTGGCAGTGCTGCCAGTCCTGCCTCTTACATACTTACAGGTAGGTTTCTACAATGAGGAAGCTGTCATGCACTCTTCAGGCAGAGTTTATGGGAGGTCTGGTAAGAATGTCATATGGCTTCCTCCTTGTATGAGTTAACTGACACAGAAATACAACACATAACCAGCCATTGGCCCTTGGCAGGTTCTGATTCCCTGTGATCACTGTCTCTGTTACCTTGAGTCAAGGAATCATCCTGCACTATTTCTAAAAGTAACCAGCTTTGTGTGTACTGACTATTTCAGGCTGACATTTTATTAAAATAAGTCTACAATGCAGCTACAATCAGGCAGATAAATATACATTGTAACTGCAAGTACACAGCATGAAAAGAAACACCTTTACTGCAGGTAAAAGGGTATTTGAGGAGGTGGCACTGGACGGAAATAGAATTTTGGAGATTGTGAACAAGAATTCTTTACCCCTAAATCTACATTAAGTATGAATAGTGATGCCTTTTGCGTCAAAGAATCCTTTTTTTAATTCAACACCTGTGACTGACAGTCCTCTGTGCTTCCATCAGTGTGGTGGTAACACTAGTACATGAGGGTAACATTGGTTCTGTAATCTGGGCTCCCATGTCTGGAGCAAAGTCATATCTGGCAACAGCAACAGGCACTGACAGACACACACCTTTGTCAGTCCAACAACAGCAGATGCACCTTCATCCACCTGCACTGTGAGGACACTTTCTGTGTAACAGTGGTGACCATCAAGAGAGGCTGTTAGCAAGCCCAGCCCACGTGTCACACTCCGAAGTAGTGAGATTTGCCTGCTTCGTTGCTGATTGAATGTTCTTCAGAACACCTGCCTTTTATGTGTAGTGGTGCGTTCTGTCAGTGGCACCTGCTTAAGCAGGCGCAGCAGAACCTCTCTCATCCAGCAAGGTCCGCATTTACTTACTTTATTGAATGAATATTCATTTCGAAAGACTGCAATATAGAAATGGGAACACTGACTTCCTCGTGTTAATTCTGAAATGCAGTGATTGAGTATTGATATGGTATGTCCACAGTGCCCTGTGTGCCCACTAATGTGACTGCAGTGCGAAACTGNTGCCACTGCCCTGAGCAACAGTGGACACAGGGTGGACTGCATCTCTAACAACACAACCTGCAACATTACCGGCCTGCGCTGCAGTCAGAACTACAGTGTGGGAGTGATGGCTGTGAGTGACAGCTGCAGCAGCCTTTCAAGCCAGGCAGTCACAGTATTGGCAGGTAAGAGTGAGGGCTAGGCATAGAAGCGTGTGGCTAGGTGTTTGAGGGGGGTTGTGAAAGGAGAGTTCTCCTAGTATGACCATATAATTTTTTCCCCACAGCACCATGTTCTCCTGTTCGTGTCACAGGCTCACTTGAATGCTTATCCAATGCAGTCTCACTCACATGGGATGTAAGCCCTAACAGTTTATCTTACAATGTACTGGCAATCGGGAGGGCTGGAGACAGAGTGAACTGCAATAACACTGCCCCTAGCTGCCAACTAAGCGGCCTCCTCTGTGGTCAGAATTACAACTTCACTGTATCAGCCAGTGACACCAGCTGTCAAAGTCCAAACAGCACACCATTCATCCTACCAACAGGTATGAGGGTATGCTGTTCTTCCTTACCTTGATGTTGTCATTAGAGTATAAGTCATGCTACAACCCAATGGAGTTCATTTAAGTACATGAAGATATTCAGACAGCCTGCTGTCCTTTGAGGTAATTTACAGTCTTATTTTTTCATCTTCTTCATCACAGCTCCTTGCACCCCAACGAATGTCCAGAACCGCCTTGATTGTGGTACCAACAACCTGACAGTCAGCTGGGATCCAAATCCAGATCCCCTGAACTATAACGTTGGTGTCAGATCAGCGGATGGCATTGTGCAGACCTGTACCAGCTTATATACCAGTTGTAGTGTCACCAGTTTGACCTGTGGCCAGGATTACGCCTTCACTGTAACAGCCACTAATAATTACTGCCGCAGCCCTCCAAGTGTGACACGAACCATACGTACTGGTGGGTTGACTCACTTTTAAGGTAGACCCTACCACTTTTGCATTGTAGTCCTGATCAGAGTACTAACACACTTTTTTTCCCCAAAGTGCCATGTGTTCCTCAGCTTGTCCAAGGGAACGTGGATTGTGCATCGAACACACTGCTGGTGTCCTGGATTAGCATTCGTGTTGCTAGGACCTATGCTGCCAGGATTCTGGGCTCGAATGGCTACTCCAATTCATGTACCACAGCCGACCTCTCCTGCTCCTTCAGCCAGCTGCAGTGCTCCCAGCAGTATAACATCAGTGTGCTCGCCCTGGACAGCCAATGCAACAGCACCAGCAGCCCTGCCATTTCTGTGTCTACAGGTAAGCCTCTGTCAAGGTCTTCCCTGAGGGAATTTCTCAAGCTTGAATCATGGAACATAGTTCATTCAAACTCCTCACTCTCTCCAGTTCCATGCACCCCAATGAATGTGGCTACCAACCTATCCTGCAATGTCAGCACAGCAATAGTATCCTGGGATGCCAGTCTGGGTAGGGTGTTGAGGATGTGAGAATATTAGATAGAGGGTACTGAGGTAGAGAGGGAAAATATATATGCACACTTATATATTTTCAAACAGTAATTGCGTGTATAATACCTATGACTTCAGAATAGGAGGAAAATGACCAGAATATATTTGTGCCTTCCAGCTCCTTGCCCACCTGTGATAGTAAACAGTACCCTGAATTGCACCACCAACGTGGCCTCACTGTCATGGGTGACGGGCAACGCTGTGGTCGACGTTGTCGTCAACGCCTCGTCATCCCAGGGCCATCAGACTTGGTGCCGGTCCACAAATGGCACCTGTGACCTGGTGGACCTTCGGTGTGGCCAGAACTACACTGTGCGAGCCTCTGTAGCTGGAGCAAGCTGTGGCAGTGCTGCCAGTCCTGCCTCTTACATACTTACAGGTAGGTTTCTACAATGAGGAAGCTGTCATGCACTCTTCAGGCAGAGTTTATGGGAGGTCTGGTAAGAATGTCATACGGCTTCTGACTTGTATGGGTTCACCCAAACACAACTGCACCTGAGAATGGACAAACACAACAGCAACGCTTAACCAGCCTTTGGCTGTTGCCAGGTTCTGATTCTTTGTGATCGCTGTTTCTGTTACCTTGAGCCAAGAGCTCATCCTGCAGTGTGTTTTTTGGTGATAGCTAGGTCTGTTACGATAATTACGTTATCGACTTATCGCAAGATAAATGGACATAACATCAATAATTTTTTCTGACCTTGATATTGGAAAATTGTGTTTACATATGTGGTTGTTAACAACAGAACAAAGGCCCTCAGCATTTTAGCTAGTTGTGTTACTTCTGCCCTCTTATCTGTTCTCTGTGCCGTAAATGTGGCTCCGGGTCGATTCATACTTTATGTGAAAGCTGCAACATAGTGCTGCACCTTCCACGGTCCTGAATGTTCCAACTTCTAGTGCCAATGCGCCAGGCAAGGTTGCTCTTAAAAATCACTTTTATGGAGTGTGGTATGGATGTTATAAAAATAAATCAGAATTTTACTAAAATTTTCTTAGCATTATGTACTTAGTATGAAAGGCAGGGTTATAATCGTTAAGGAGAACAAGTCCATGAACTGAAATAAAATAAGATATAAAAATAAAAACTACAACTAAACTACAACTATAAATACTGGTTCGAAAACCAACTAAGATAAAATCAGATGTCAAATACTCCTAGTTGCCGTTTTTAAATACTGTTCAGCTAAAGTAATAATGTGGTTATCTTTGGGTCTCTTGTGCAATAACCTTGAACCACAGAAATATAAAACCATCTTGCGACATTTTGTAGTAGCCAGCAAAGTCCTACAACTTTCCATCTATCCCTAGCAATAAAATTAAATTAAATTAAAATATACAACCACAAAACAGATTCACATCTTTAAAATAAAAACTAGCAAAACTACGCCTAAAACTAAACTAGATTTTTAATGAAAATATATATATATTTTTTTAAAATAAAAATTTAACAAAAAAGTCTAAACGATACCAACACTGACAAAAACACACACGGGAATATATGGTTTTGCAGTACTAACGTATGTTATTTTGTAGCCATCTAGGAGTCTTTATAATAATGTAGCAAGGAATCGTATAAATGCCGGTATTTCTGGACTTTCACAGTCAACCCGTCTTCAAATTCTCTAGCCATTTTTATCACTCTGATCACAGAGGTTAGAAAATGTATTTATATATGATCTGTGGTCTGACTTCTTTCTGACTTCGTGTTACTTTTCCCCTGGAAAATGAATAACGTAGGTTTGTTTGCCTCAATGAACAGAGACTCTGCAAAACTGGGTTGGCAGTATATTGCTTGTAAAAGGATCGAATGATTCTCTATACCTGTCCCAAATGTTTCATATACAGTAAAATCCCGTTATAACGGACTTTAAGGGACCTGCCAAAACAGTCCATTACATACAGAGTTGCTGTATGCCCAGAACACAACTACAGGACACCATTTACTCATGCCACACCCCAGCAG